TGTTATTTTAAAAGCAAGTCAAGATACCTTTACCAAAGCCCATACTGTGAATAGGGATCGACCGATTATCGGTTTTACCGATATATTCGGTATCGGCCAATATAGATACCGATATTGCCGATAATACATACCATGACCGCCGGGCTCCTTACAAGCCCAGCGGTCCTGAAGGGAGAGAGCTACCCAAGCTGTTACTTTTCCAGCAGCTCCTCCAGCTCCCCAGTGTAAATCTCGTGAGTGCTTTGGCCGTCAGAGCGTTGACACGGGTTACCATGGCAATGCTCCGCACCCCACGCAGACTCCGATATTTAAACTGGGGAGCTGGAGGAGCTGCTGGAAAGGTAAGTAACAGCTTGCTGCCGGCCCCTGAACTGCTCAGCCAATGCCACTGGATCACCAGGGAATGCCATAGCCCCCCTATCTGGCCAGGTAACAAGCAGGGAGGGGGGACAAAAATAATAATAAAACCTATAAATATTAAAAACAAAATTAAAATAAAAAATGCCCCCCACCACCCATTTTACACAAATTACATCCCTTCACAAACACACACACTCTGCATTATATATACACACACACACACACACTCTGTACAGTGTGTGTGTGTAGTGTGTGTATATATAATGCAGAGTGTGTTTGTATAGTGTGTGTGTGTGTGTGTGTGTGTGTGTGTGTGTGTGTATATATATATAATGCAAACATACTCTGCATTATATATACACACACACTATACAAACACTCGCTGCATTATATACACACACACACACACACACACAACTATACACACACACTAAAAAAAACACACCCTGCATTCATTATATACACACTACACAAACACACACTGCATCCACTACACACACACACACAGCTCCCCTGTCTAAACACACTGCATCCACTACATGTGGCATGTATATTTTGTGCATTTACCTTAAATAGTTTATTTTTTAAAAATGGTAAATGTACAGAATATTGGCAAGTTATCAGCTATCGGCCTGAAAGTTCACAGATTATCGGTATATGAATCGGCTGTAAAAAAAAAAAAAATATCGGTCGATCCCTAGCTTTGAACTCATATGTAATAACCATAAAGTTAAATAATATACTCACGAATGCCTAAAATGCCTAAAATGCCTAAAACAGCAATAATCCATTGATAATCACCAGGACCTAGAAAAGAGTAATTTACAGTTTGTTAACAGTTATTCAACTGGAGATGCTAGACAACTGTCAGATATATTGCAAGGAGAATACAAGATTGTCCAAACATGGTCAGACAGATGTATAATCATCTAAAATCCTACAAGCACCACAATTACACTGCTGCCCAAATGGCACTTTTCACAAACATTATTTGAATACTTCTGCTTATTTTTGTGAAATAGTAAGGGGGGGGAGAGGGAGGAGAAGTTGTTTCTCAGACACAGGGGTTTACTTTGAAGGAACCTTGCTAATGCTGAGCGACTCCGCTCCTTTGCCTGGAGAATAAGCACAGACTCTGATGCTGAAATTATTTTTCGTCTAGATCAGGGGTCCTCAAACTATGGCCCATGGGCCGGGTCAGGCCCGCCAGAATCCTGAACCCGGCCCCAGCACTCTGAGCCACCCGATGGGCCCTATAACTTCAGGGGCCGGGTCAGCAGTGCGGCGTGCAATAGCAGCCGCAAAGTACTGCTGGGAGTAGGTGTCCATCACTTCCTCCCAGCTCCCTCCGCGCGGGAAGGAAGAAAGACATGTCGCAAGGAGGGAAGAGCCACACTGACTCCCATCAGCCACAGCCATCCTCCTGCAAAAAAAGTAGGAAAATTTAGCTGTGTGTATGCATGTGTGTATGTGTGTGTGTGTGTATGTCTTTCTCTGTGTATGTATGTCTGTGTGTGTATATGTATGTGTTTGTATGCATGTGTTTGTATGCATGTCAGTAGGTGTCTGTCTGTCTGTATTTAAGTATGTATGTCAGTGTTTGTATGCATGTATGTATTTCAGCATGTCAGTATGTATGTCTGTGTGTGTATGTATGTATGTATGTATGCATCTGTCTGTCTGTGTGTGTATCAGTGTATGTATGTCAGTATGTGTTTGTGTGTGTATGCATGTCTATGTATGTCAGTAAGTATGTATGTATGTATTTTAGTATTTTAGTATGTGTGCGTGTATGTCAGTGTGTTTGTATGCATTTCAGTATGTCAGTATGTATGTCTGTGTGTGTCTGTGTATATATGTCAGTATGTGTCTGTCTATCTACCTGTATGTATGTCAGTGTGCTTATATAGGTCTGTGGATGTATGTCAGTATGTGTTTGAATGTATGTATTTCAGTGTGTGTGTCTGTCTGTGTGTATGTATGTCAGTACGTATGTGTTTGTATGTATATGTCAGTACGTATATGTCTGTCTATGTATGTATGTCCTTATGCGAGTTTGTGTCTGTTAGTATGTGTGTCTGTATATGTCTATGTGTCTGTTTCACTATATATAGGATTTTTTTTTTTTTTTTAAATGTCAAACTGTCCAACTCCCACTACCCTTAACCCTGCAAGTGTAATTACTGCAGTTTTCATAAACTTCAATATTTACATTGCAGGGTTAAGTCCTCCTCTAGTGGCTGTCTACTAGGAGTTCCGTGTTCATAGAACGCTCATAGCGACGCTGGACATCCTCACTCTATATGAGAACCTCCAGCGTCCCCAAAATCACCATAGGAAAGCATTGTATGGGGGGTGGGAGGGAGAGGGGCACTGCAGGAACCTGCACTGCCAGGAAAAGGAATGTTTTCCTTGCACTAGAGAATCCCTTTAAGGAGCAGTAACCCTCTCATGACCTTCTGTAAATAACTTCGAGTCTAACCATCTTCTGTGGTAAATTATTCAATCCCTCCATCTACCCAAATGAAAATATCCTAATGTAACCTGGAATTTTTCATTAATAAAATGGGCTGAAAGACCATCTTATTCAAGAGGGGAAGTCTTTCATACCAAAGAGTTGATTCACAAACAAAGTGTCGGGGGAGAAATTACTATAGTAGAATACTAGGAAACACAGGGCAGATAGAAAGTCTGCCTTTGGAAGAATCTGCATTGGCAAAGCTGAATCTATACACAAACATTATGGAATTATTGTATCCTTTGAAGTAGTTAAAGGAAGAAAGGGGGGTGGTGGGCGGGGGTTGGAAGAAGAGGGAAGGATGTGGGGCTAGCTTTTGACCAGAGGAGTTATACTCTTATCGAGCTCCGTGAAGAACTGACACAAGCTGGCTAATTAACCCTTACCGTCATGACTGGGGTTCTCTTTCGCCCTTTGGAGTAAAATAGATAGCATGCGGCGCAAAACTAAAACACCTTGAGGCAACTCAGTCACGAAAAATCACTAAATTTGTGGGTGTGTAGATGGGGCGCTGTCAACTGTCCAGAAGAAGTTAAATCCCTGCTGCTACCCAGGAACCCCAAGTATCTTTCAATACTTGAGAGTCCCCTCTGTTGAAGTACTACTCTTAATCCTTTGCTAGTGACAGATTAGCTGACAATTTTGGTTAAATATATGCAGACACTTAAAATGACACTATGTAGATTTGAAATATTGGCCTTTCGGTTTTGTTATTGAGGTTTGTGGCCTGCAAGTAAAACTGATTCTAACCACAAACTGATCAAATGCTACAGGAGTGTTACAATTACAGCTGTACTCAGAATGGTAACTGTAACGGATCACCTGGCACCCCGACTGGGTACCTCCGTTGAAGGATGCTCCTAGCGCTTCCTGAGGACCGAACCGGAGAAACAAATAAATTCTCCCAAGCATATGAATGCCGTAGACAGTTGAATAGGAACCATACGAATAGGTTTACTCTCCTAGCAGTCACACTGGAACAGCATTCAATAAATCCTTCCCCCAATAATGAGACGACACTTCACTTTGAGGGTTAAAACAGGTACTCCCTGTACTGTCACATACAGTCTCTTTTATTCCCAATCCACAAACATAGTACAGCCCAAAGGGCGTTACAAAACAACCAATCCGTACAATACACCCAGACACTCCCACACAAAATCCTCCCCTCTGCCTGTGATATGATTACTGAACACAATGAGTAATCTCATTATCACCGGCAGAGGAATACAGTTTTTACACAATATTTATAACTTCTAAAATATACATGTCATAAACATAAAACATACATTTTCATAATCAATCCATTCAGGGGAACATCATATTAAAAAAATGGCACGAATCAGACCAGGGGTTCAAAAGTTAAGGGAAAGTCCTTTGTGACTAAATGAAGCATGGCTTTCCGGCCCAAACCAGTTTCAGAGTCTTCCATCCTGGAGATAAGTGAGAAGTAATTCAATTATCTCCCAGGACAGACACAAGACTCCATTATGCACATGGTGAGCACAAAGCATTAAAATATTATAAAATACACAAAGTCACATTTTATACATAAAACACAGACATGTCACATATCCCCAGATAGTTGGGATCTGAGCGCACAAAACTACCGAATAGCGCTCAGATCCTATTCACACAGTTCAATTGCCATGTAGCCGAAGTCTTTAACTACACGAATGGGCTCCATGGCATAGCTATCTGGGTTAACACATTCACATAAAGTCTGGTCCATAGTCCAAAGGCAAGAGGCGGGCAAGCAGCCCCCTCCAAGGACACGTGGCGAGGCCGGTTTCGCCACAGTAACTGATACTTTGTTGCAGTTTTCTGCACCCCCTCTTTAGTACAACACGGGAACATTAATTTTATTCTTTTAAGGACAAAAGAAATTGTCTAAGTTCTGAGAATAAAAAAATAAATAAAAAAATAAAAAATGGAATTTGAGCTCTATGTCTGTTCAACCATAATTTACCTCTTTCGTATTAAATGCACCCACGCTTATTATACATCATTATGTTCAGGAGAAATAGGGCTATCATTTCACAACAAATATTTTCATATATGAAACAATTTAATATGAATCTAAAAAATAAATTAAAAAACGTGTGAGAAATTTTATTTTCCATGTTCTGCATGGCAATTAAATTGTGGATGTCAGAATAGCTTCTCCTGAGTTCAGACAGTTTTCAGCCTGAATTAAAAGGTCTAACTGCAGAATTCATCAATGCCTTTACACATCAAACCGTCTGAGATTTCATTGGTAGAACTCTAGTACTAAGAACCAAGCTCTTCAAAATGAGGTTATATGGTAATGAGAATCAAATCGACTGATACAAATTGTGTATTTAGCCATTGTGATCTACCCCGCCTGACACCTAGGCTGCAAACTAACAAGGCGCATATGAGAAAACCATCCTCAGAACAATCTGAGGATAGTGCAATGAAAAGGCCAAAAGCCCATCCAGCTCACACGCTGGAGAGACATCACACCTAAGCTCGCAGGTGGTCAGTTCCAGGTGATGGCAGCCACAAGGGAGGCTCACTAAAGTGACCCTGATGAGGATAAGCCCATTGGCCAGCTCAAGTGTCTACGCTCAAAGCGCACCAACTACACAACCAACAGAGGTGTAAGAGTCTGTTGTATGTATCTTCATAGTTAGAGAAAAATTGTGAGGCAAGCCCCAGTGGGCTTATTTCTCCCATGACCTATTGTTCTCCCCCCTGGCCCCCACCCCTGAGCGGCGGCCCTAAATTAGAATAGGGGGCGCGCTAATGTCCTCCCCCCCTGGCCCCCACCCCTGAGCGGTGGGTGGGGGTCCTAAATAAAAATTTGGGGGCACCTAGTGTGCTTCCTCCTTGCCCCCACCC